ATATTTATTTTGAAGACTAACATTTTTATTGCACCACTTTGCATGCAATACCACCACATATACATAGATGATACGTTACTATTTTTCATATTCACAACATTACACAAACCAGCTGTACAACATGAGCATCAAACATGTCACCGTAACAGTCGTAAGAAGCTAAAACGTGGACATATATATACAAAACGGAAAAATACGATATTCAACATTCAACATTCAACAATCACAACATCAGAAACAATCATGACAAGAACAGGAAATGAAAATTACGGAGTCCGTAGAAAATACTTGAACTGATCAGCAATCTACAATAAATCAAATTGAATGGCTACACTTCAGTGGGGATCTATCAACGAAAGGTATTTTCCAACATGAAACGATCACTTCCAGCTGGTCATCTCCACATGGTAACACATATCCGTTATTCGATCTTCCTTCATAAATATATAATATGTCCATAAAATATTTCAGTCTAAGCCGGAAAAGTTTAACCAGACATTCCGCAAAGAGAAAGCCCAAAAAATACCCAGAAATTCAGGAAATAAAATCCCAAACCATTTTTTTTGTGAAAAATTTGTCTGATTCTCACACTGCTTAGTAGGGCAGGACATTATGTTTTCAACTATCCAATCCTTCGTTAGAAAACCTTTCCAGATTAATCAACCCAAATCCCTGCCCCGAGTAAAGAATGAAAAGCTACAACTTTTCTAAGGTATTTAAGAGGGTTTTCCGACATTCTGATTTTCCTACTGCCTTTATATGATCAACCATCTGTGCCGTGAGAAACCTTTTCCAGAGTTAACTGAAGATCAAAAATTTTCAATCCATGTTTACTGTAAAAAATTCTGCATCTCAACAATGAGTAAATTGTTCAACCTCAAAATCAGAATGACTGGGAAATTCTAATTGGTTCAAAGAGATTCAAATGTGATTGAATGAGTTCTTTCCTAGAATTCAAAGTATAAATTAGAATGCGTATTTTTTTAAAGGAAATTTCAATGTTTTGTAATATCTCTCATACAACCTAATAATCGACCCTCTTATTGAAACCTTTATCACAGATGAATTCCTACCCAAAAGGAATAAATTCGACCATGAACCTGTATTGTGCCCAAATTTCTTAGAAATTATCAAGAGCTGGATGATACATAAGCTTATAAATGCCTGAAATCCGATTTACGTGAAACTCCTACGCATCATAATGAGCAATTATTGCATGAGTCACATCAAGACCTTCGTTAAGTCTAATTTTATTCTTTACAATTACGATAGTCGAGAAATGATTACATAATTCTTTAGCAAAATAACGTCATATATTACACATGTATTAGTCTCACATATCATTTCTGAATAACATCACACATCACTATTTGGAATCATTTAACGCGCAATTCACCTTAAACTAAGTTGACGAGTGGACAATGGACAGTTCACACCGTCCAAGTCCACTGTGCCACAGAACACCGGGACGCACTAAACAATATAAGCTGCTTTGAAAAGAGGGAGGGGCGCGAACATACGAAGTTTATCGAACTAATCGACCTTTCAGTAAATTTCGTAATACTCGGCACTACGCAATGCAAAAAACGAGAGCGGAATTGGAGGACGGGTGATTTGTTCGTTTGTTCGAGCGGGGTTTGTGGTGAGGAATTTTCTCATTTTACCGGAGAAGGGAAGGAGAATGGTTTGTGTATTTGGTTCTGAATAATTGGAAGATAAAAATGAAACCGGAAAGCTGTGAATTACCAGAAGACGAAGGTGAAACGAGTAATATACAGAATGGAAGAAACACCACAGGGGAAAGCATAGCTCATTAGTCCTTTCCTGAAACTGAAATTGTTTGTAAAGTAGCTTTCAGGAGAGAAAAACATAGATGTAAACTAACGAAAAACAGTTCAGAGTAATTTGCGAAGCGTTCAGGAAAAAGCCCATGGGAAAATATTAAAAAGACATTGCATATGAATTTAGTACGTGAATGAGTGTCACGAGCGTTGAACTAGCCATTGATTACAAACGCCATTCTTCATAATATCCTACCCGAAAAAGAATATCTGATAAAAGACGGGAATTCGATCATGATGGTGGGTTCGTTGTCGGATCCGTCATTTATAGGAATGCCATCATGGTCGGTCTATCCTCTACCAATTCCAAATTAGGTGCAAAATCATATCGTTCAACTATCTAATTTTCAGCTTAAATGAGATAGGTGTAAAAATTGATTGTAATAAGTCATTTACCCTTACTATCAAATGAAGATCAGTTCATTTAAAGCAAAACGTGAATATTTGTTTCCTAATCTACGACATACAATCTTATCAATGTTACATCGTCCCTATTTATTGTTCTATTAAATGAACTGTGACAAAACGGACTGTTTCATGTTTTTACCCAAACATCAATTACTTTGCTAATCTAAGTTACATGTAAAATATAAACATTCATCTGCTAAGCATCAATCTTAATCATGATCGAACGAGCATTAAGACTGCCGCTAATTCTGTCTTTCAATCAAGTCAATATCACAACCGATGTCTCTAATCCTGTCTTCCATTTAAGATAATTTGTTATTGATAATGTAGAAAATAAAACTTGCATCTGTCAAGAAATTATATTCAAAATTATCATGTGATTCATGTGATTCATGTGTTGTGATTCATGTGAAATTGTTATCCTAAATGATTTAATGCAATATCATTAATACTCTTTAGTTTAAATTGAACTATAGAGAATTAAGAGAAGTTCAAAGGTGACATATTTGAAATCAAACAATCAGATATGAAATAATAAAATGATTTTCAAATAAGATTAATTAGTTCCGTTGAACTAAAAAATATGTTGTAGAATGCAAAGTATCCATCAAGAAGTAATAAGCAGATGGTTAGTTTGGCTAATGGCTGGATGAGATGTGTGATATTGTTTAAACTGCGTCAGTGATATTGATAGTAATGTGAAGTGAAGATTGAGCTTATTTGGCTATAAGTTATTAAAAATAATACTACCCAAGAGATATCTTCATAAAGTGACATCAAATAATGACACAAATTTTTAAATGAATCAAATATCTTAAGTAACTGTGCAATGAAGCAATTTCTGAAGGTGCTCATTATCTGAGCAAGGTTAGAGCTAAGAAACTGAGGTCTTATCCTATCAGCCAATTAATTAATTAGCTGAAATTAGTTCAGTTGTTGTTTATAACACATGAAAGCTTTGATTTTTGTCCGAAGAATAAGTATGAGAGTGAAACTATGAATATCGAAATATTGACCAAAGAAATACAAAAGAGCAGCGGAATATTGCTGATATTTAGACTCCTTATCATTTATCACTCCCAATTCTCAATACAATAATCATAATGTTATCATAGAAAAGTAAAAGCAAGAGTAATGTTGTAGATTGGAAACAAAAAAGCATCTGGAAGATTGAAAACTGTCGTAAAATACATCATCATCGAGGGTTTTTTTAGGGTACCTAATTACCTGAAATTTATTCAATAGATTAATTAGCATAATTTTGACAAATTAAAAAATAAAGAATGGTTGGATTTTTCTTATCTTTTAAATCATTTTGCCATCCTCTTTTTTTCCTCCGTTTCATGATATGTCTTAGTATTTGTCCCATCTTTTTTATACGACAGATGGTTTGTTGCCAACCATTTTGATGTCAACCATCCTAAACCTTTTCAAAGTATTTTTTTATGCCTTATGTTGCTACCTTTCAGCATCTTCTTCATTTACTCAAATTTAATTATGGCATATTCATGCAAGAAATTGATTATTTTAAATGAATATTTAGCAGACGACTTATTGACCGTATTAGAAGACGATAACAAATTCTTCATTGGATCAAAGTAAGTTGATTTCACTGCTCTTCATATTTTCATAATTTTAAGGATGAAAACGATTATGTTAACTTAATTCATCGAAATTTGATTTATTTCTTTATTGCATTAAATTTTATTACTGAATTTTACTTCCTATCACCTTCTTAATTCAAATTTTTTTTTCCAACCTACCGCTCCAGTTTGAAATGATATTTGTTATCAGCATGATGAAACTGGTTTCATCATGATTTTTAATCATAGGCATGAGTCAACCATAAAGGATCCTTCTAGACCCTTGTAATCAAATATTAAATAAACAATCACTTTTATTTCAAAATTTGAAAAAAAAATATGAAATAGAAAAAATATCACTCCCAACCATAGGGAAGTTTTCCACTTATTTTGCTACTAATTCTCTATTTATTGTCCTAATTAAATTGTTATCATGAGGAGACGAAGAAGGAATGATAGGGAAAAAAAGGGAGAAAGGATCGCTTAACATGAAGTTTAATTATTGTCAAACCCTCACGCGGCGACAACAAAATGATATCTTCTACTTGTTTACCAAAAAGCAAAAAAAAAAAAAAAGAAATGTAACGAATCAGAATATTTTTGATTAGATTATTTCTAGCTCATCTTTAGTGTTCCTTTTTGCTGCAAAATATTTCGCATGCAGATGCATGCAGATGCAGATGCATGCGCTTTGCAAACTATCGAATTAATAAATTAATAAATTCTCTAACAGTTATTTTCGAAATAAATTTGGTAAATCGACTAGTTGCTATCGATCAGCAATAGCAGTCATAGAGATAACTGATAATGAATGAACAGAGAGAGAGAGAGAGGAAATCTTTATCGAAAATATTCTCTTTTAACAACTTTATTTGCAAACTTTTGACTTTTGTGACAGTACAGCGGAATTGATCAAAACTCGTATTTAGATGATTTTTTGAGAAGGTAATAATAAATTTGTGGAATTCGTAAAAAAGTTATCGAATTAGCAACTGATAACAACTAATAACAATCAGCAACTGATAACAACTGATAACAATCAGCAACTGATAGCAATCATGAAATTATACTTTTCAGAAATCGACTTATTGTATTATCTGCCGAAACTTTTCACTTGAAAACGATTGTACCTTTAAATGTTACAACGATAAGAGCAGCGGAATGCTTGATGAAAGGTTTTGGAAAGGTTGGTTCCGGTATTTTTTTTATCTTTTATCAGCTGTTCTGTCTGCTCCTTTCAATACATTTCATGCTGCATGATAAAATTATTTATCATTTACCGCATGTAGATGCAATGAATGTTTCCTACTGTGCAATGAATCATAACAGCCAAAAACAAGATTACATATGGCGCAAATGTTATTTATAGGGAAAATGTCAAAATGATATTACGCTATTGTTGCGTCATGGAAATGATTGCTTGCATATTTGCGGTACAAATGCGCTCTCACCACATTGTCACATAAGAAAAGTTAGTTCATTTAATTTTCTACTGAAGAATAACATTATCTTTTAATACTTTTCAAAAGGCGACAGCATATATTGACTTGCATCATGCAACCTGCAGAAAATATATCATATTCAAGTATAAACATATCGATTGCTCTTAGTTTCATAGAATTAACAAATCTATTTCAGAAGCGAAATTTATTGCAAGAATGCGCAAATGACATAAATGCTATTGGCCTTAGTACGTTTAACAGAGATTGCCCAGCTTATCATTTATCATATGGAAATTATACATTCACAGCATTAGCTGTTGATATTTCATGTAACAAGCAAACATTGCTTCGTGCTCTTCCAGAAAATCGAAAGCTTTGGGTACCCGTTAACGATGATCGTTGGTTTCACGGTACTAATTTGGATTATTTTACTGAATTAAATTAGGGATTTGGATTACAATGAAGGGAGGGAAAGTTAAGTAAATAATATTATGGTATTATTCAAGGATAGTATGAATTTCGATCGGAGAGATTCAATTTTAGAACAAAAGATATTTGTGGGACCACTTTATCTGAAGAATTATTGCAACGTTCAGACAACTCTTGCATCATTCATTCCTTTGATTTAAGCTATTCTTAACTTGGAAAGCCAACTAAGCTTTATTCTATCGTCTTTTAGATTTTCCTCTTCCTCTTAACTAATCATTATCAAATATATCGCTCTAATGATAGTTTTCAGAACCAAAATTCATCGCATTGTTTGGATGGAAACAGTATGTATATGTTGTTTTTAATGAAGAAAATCATCAAGGTGTACAGGTACGGGGTAAATCAAAAATTGATAAATCCGGATTGCATTCCAATTAAATGGAAAGATCTTTAGTTAATTAATTGGTGGATATTGAAGGTGATGATGGTTGAATGATTGGCATCATAAAAATCATTGGGTAAAATGGTGAAATCAGAAAACTATTATCAATTCTTGCATTTACCATGGTATCATCATTGGTTAACTTATTGCAGGGCCGGATTGGTGGCGTATGCGCAGATGATCCAGGTGTCACTGATAGCATCATGCTCTATAAAAATACATTCAATTCATTTGGCAAACTTTCACTTACTTGTCCTTTAGACATCAATAATTTACGGTTGAAAATAGTGAAAACAGCGCAAATATCTGCAAACTTTGTTTTTGTCATATTTTGGAATAGTTTTGAACGATTGCCAATATCTGCTTTATGTATATTTGATCTAAACGAAATAGAGGAAAGATTATTTGGTGACGATAGAATTCCCGAAACGACATGGAAAATGAAAGACAATCATTGTCCGAAAAGAAACCAATCAGGTTTTCCAAGGATTTTAGATAAAACGATAACTATGATCAATCCATATGCATTTTACACATTTCCGGAAATGACTGAGTAAGCTGCAATCAATAATTATCTGTCACTTATCTGCTTACACTTCCAATTTTATATTTAAACTAAGATTGTGTCGCTTAAGCAGAAAAGAAAACTTTTGACTGCCATTGCTGTCACTCTTTACGTTTATTTATCGACCAATGCTGATGCTGTTAGATATGCACAGATTTGCTGATCAAGTATTATATTAATTAAGAATTAAATTTCAACAGCAAAATTAATGAGGAACAATATTACAGTAACATAGCATTACAGGATAGAATCTGTAAATGTGGCTAAAACTGATAATGGAAACTATCAGATTATCGCAATATCTAAAAAAGCAAAAGTATACGGCTTCATTTTCAATGGTACCTTTATTAATGAGAAATGGACCGATGAAATTGTTGTTAGTGGGAAAATATTAGAAATGAGAATTCGAAAAGAGGTACAATTTCATTTTAAATATCGATCTAACCAATATGTCTTCTAATAATTTTTTTTAGCAAAAATTTTTTTTTCAAAATTTCAAAATTTCCAACTTTTGTCAGAATTTAAAAAGTTTGAAATTACCGTTTCATTAGCATAGTATCCTTTAAGAATATTTTCAGTCATTCACAGTGCTCACATCAAATTCTTTCAAAAAGTACAAAATAAATGATTGGTCTTCGGAAATTACCGAAAATATCAATCGGAACACAGGGTATGTATTTGAAAAAGAGAATGTATAAGGGTTGCCATATTTCCCTTAGTCTAAGAAATGCATCTGAATTTAGGAAGCGGACTTTTAGATTTCATTATTTGTCAGGATTACGTATTTAAAGATTATCACTGATGGGAATTTGAGGTAATCGTGAAGATACCCATAACTAAAGCAAGAATGCTGGTAACCTTGAAGTAAAGAAGCACCAACTTACTGATTATTATTTTAGGCGGCAATATGACTGTGGATGGACAGAATGGAGTAGTTGTTCACAAAGATGCGCTGGAGGATATCGAAGTCGAGAATGGTGCTGTTTACCTGGAAACACTTGTAATTCTTTCAAAGAAAATCAACAGCAGTATCAACTGTGTAACAATATGTCTTGTAATGGTAATTACTTTCATTTCTATCATGTTATCAGAATCAGTAAGATTATCAGAATCATCGAAAACTTATCAATAAAATTAATCATGTGAGGGAAAAGAAAAAAAGTTCATATAAACAATCCTTAGAGATGTTGCTGATATCTGTTCAACATAATCACTTGATATCTTCTTCAGAAGTTCGACGATACAGTGCTTGGAGTCAATGGTTAGCATTGGGAGAGAGTACTGAAATTCGATATCGTGCTAGCTGTGGCGTTGAAGTACCTGATCCTATGTCAATCAAAGTAAGAATCCTTATTTGATGATGGAATAGCCGGAAAATTGATAAAACAGAGTGGTTTTTTGAATAGCAACTAATACTGTATGTATTTTAAGATAGGATAAAGAGTGAAATAGAAGATCTGTTCATTCGGTTCGACAACTCATTTCCGAAATCTGTTATCCGTAATCATTCCGTAATCTTCTCCATTCGATTTAGACAATACTTCACGGATCAAAACGTGTATTGATGCATGAATGGCTAGCATGGAATGAATGGACTGCATGCAGTGCAACTTGCGGTAATAGTTTACGCAGTCGCTGGCGTACCAGGAAAGGTCTTGTTGTGTCGTATGATGATAGTATCCAGTACATCGTCGAGCCATGTTCTATACCATCATGTGAATTTGGTAAGCAGTTGGTCTATTGACTGGGCGCTAAATGACCTAAACTAATTAGGACTTTTTTAGCTTGTTCAGATTGCAGATGATCTGGTTGAATGGACAAATGGAAGTGATGTTCGATGGAGAATTTTGAAATGTTCATCTTCAGATGATTGTTTTTACAAACTCGGTATCAGTGACTTTTCCCGCGGTACTAATTTGCAATGTTTTTTGAATTCTGAAAATTATTTCAAGTTGATTTCATTATTCGGTTTCATTTCTTTGCACTGCGAGAGGTGATACGCTGGTCATGCATGATAAATAGGTTCTGATCATCAAATTACCCCTGCTGCACAGCTTACCTTAAATGTTAATTTCAGGTTTCTCCATGATATCAATGCTATTAACTCACTCATTAATGTTTCTGCTCGGTGTCGTTATAGGAAGACTACAGCAAATGTTTCAAATCAGTAAAAATTCATAATATCCAATTTTTTACATTTTAATTTGGCTGGAATCATCTACCATTTGCCGGGAGCTTTTCCGGTGATCGTATTCTGCATTGCTGAGACAAGTTATGAAGCTGTAATTCAATTAAATAATATGCAGAATTATTTCACAGGATTTATTTAACCCATGATTCATTCAAATATTCGATAGTTTGTACATTTTCTTCAGAGAGGATGAATGGTAAACAAAAAATTGATCAAAGCAGTTACGAAGTCAATTGGTTTTTTGATATACGCAGCATGCGGCGCATCCGGAATGATTGATAGATTCTTGTTCGGAATGCTAAGCAGCCCCATTGAAACTGACGCTGTATCTCGGCTACCGTAGATTATGAGTGTAGGTACCTGAAAGAAAATCGTTATTGTCTATCAATTGCACAAGGAAACATTCATAGAGGAAATAGTCCAAAATCGTACGAGATTTAAATAGTCCAAAATAGTAGGAGATTTTAATGTAGCACACTGAGATGTTCCTGAAGTGTAATAATATCAGATATAATAATAAGTACTTTCAAAATAAGGGTAAGCTAAGCACCAAATAGTCATTATGTATTGTATTATCAGTTTGCCGGTATCTGTAGTAGTACCTATTTGTTATGATATCAGACTTATTATATTTTGTAACGCCATTTATGAAGAAAAATTCATATTTGAAAATATCAGTATTGAAGTTTAATTATTACTAATGACGATGATAATAATTATAATAATGATGTAAATAAATAATAATGGTTAAGTACTTGGAAACGGCCTAATATGTACACAGATTATGCTTGCATTCTGTAATTTGTGACTGATTCGGGGATGACATGCAAAATAGGGTTTGAAATTTGAAGATTATTTCATTTCCAATGTTTCTCCTAATGCGTAATAAATCAATCAGTTTGAAAACAAGAAGAAAAAGATCTAAAGTTCAAATTTATAAAACAAACCGTGAAATTCTCCCAACCATCATTACGAACACAACATGGCGCTACTGGGACGAAACCACTAATTTTATTGGGATTACTGAGTACATAAGGGACGGAATAACTTCCACTTGCAGAAGGGCTTATGATAATTGGCTTATGGATATTTAAGCTCTTCATTACTAACGACATGAATGTGGAAGGATCATTTGATACCGAACTTTTGGTCCGACTATGACTGAAGCCTGCAAGCAAGAAATTTAGATAAACTTCATAATTTTTTTGTCAAACTGTAGACAAATATTTTTTGATAAACTTCATTATTAATAGAATTATACGGTAATTTGGTTAATCGTTACGTATGACATCATGATCAACCCTAACTTGCATAAGAATGGTGATTTGTAGCGATATAGTGATCCAAAAAAAATATTTTAACTGATTATGTAAATAGAATTGTTTTTGGCCATTAAATGTTATCCTACCGGGTAAATCGATGGCAATAGTTCGATATCCGGCAGCAGCAGTAAGTTGCATAATAGAAGGCTTGTTTGCATTCCAGTCATGAGAAGAATATGCAGCTCCGTGCAAGTATAAGAGATTCCCGCGATATTTTATTTTGGGTGGTGGTTTCGCCTCCAGATAATACAATATTGTTTTATCCTGAAATTGAACATTTTTGAATGAACTGATGGAGTTTTATGGATTTTGCACAAATTTAAAAAAAAAAATTCAGAATCTTTCTGGTTATTCTCAATACATTGCAATGTGTTTCTTAGCTTAGGATACAAGCGGATATATGATTCATGGTAGGTTATAGATATACATTTCAAATTTCTAAAAAATTGAGTATTGGTAGTGAAAATTTACTCAGGAAAAATTGAAAGCAATGAAGTGAAAGGGAGATGTACCTCAAGTACCACAGTAGCATTCTTGACGACAATACTGCTTGCTTCAGTGGTAATGGAATGAGTTAGCACTTTGTTGAGTAAATTTAAATCTTCAGTTGGAGCTTTTTTTGATAGGTTTCGCGCCAGTAACGTGTAAAAAATAATTGTGAAACAAATCATTACCAATAATATGTACCTGAAAAAATATCACTCCATCAAATTTTATGTTAATTTCAAGTTGTTCTTTTAGCATATCAGTTTATCAATGTCTTTTATGGTATCAACTAAATATATGTGTTAAAGTGCCTCAGATCGAATTATTTCACCTTGTGTACTGCCAAAAGTAACTTTTTTTTTGTTTTCCATCGCTTGATAATCAACTTTTGAAAACTTCTAATGATGATACTCAAAATTAATGGTGGAAATATTTGCATAGAGGATGACTACTTCATCTCCCCACCAGATGTATTCATCCAGAATACATCGATGTGCTTGTAAAGGAAAAAAAATAGCTTTGGAAGGCGAAGTTTAAATCAAAAATAATTTTCTATTTATAAAGATTGGAAGAATTTCACGAATAAAAAATCATTTCTAAATTCGTGAAAAAAGTTAACCAAAAAAGATGAAATGATTGATTGACGAATATTTAATTCTTCCAGTGATAATGGGATAAATTCAGTGTAATTGTTTTTTAAGTAAAAAAATTATAAAATACCACAAAAAAAAGTGTCTATCGTGTCTATCATTCCTTGGAAACTTAAATAATAATGCAAATAGTCATTGCTATCAGTTCGAAAACAACTACGAGTGATAAAGAAATTCAAACATATCACTGTGACTAGAAGATGTGATATGTGACATGGATGGCAGAAAGAGATGACAGTAAAAATCGAATGAAATCAAAGAATAGACAAAAGCCTTTCATACCAATATGTAGGATGAAGTGAGCTTACAGATTAGAATTGTAATGAAAACAGCAATGATAGAATGTCAGCTAATTTAGAAATATTTTTATTCACAAACACCAACAACTTTTTAACGACAAAAGATGAAAAAGACCAAAGATCCCAATGAAAAGATAAGGCATTTGTAAAAGTTTTATTGATTGAAAATTGTGATAATTAAAAGGGAAATTTATTAATCGAATTATTGGGATGAAAAAGAAAGAAAAAACAAAGATATGAACGATATGTTCACCATGCAGAAGTTTCGGTGCCTTTAAATATTATCGGAAGGCGGTCACCAAAGGACAAAGAAACTTTAGTC